CTGCCTCACCACCTGGCGGGCTTAGTTGGTTAAGCGTCAGACTTTGGCTCAGGTCATGATCTCATGGTTCATGGGTTTGAGCCCCACATCGGGCTCTGTGCTGACAGCTCTGAGCCTGGAGTCTGCTTGGGATTCTCTCTTTCTCTCCCCCCACCCCTGCTCAATCTTTCTCTCAAAATAAATACACAAACCTTAAAAATAAATAAAATGAATAAATGAAATGCACAGTGAGCTACCCTCTCGCTACAGAGATGGCCCAGGAGGCCTTGGGATACTCACTGCCTCTGCTCGGCCGTGGGCGGCTTGCTGTGGTGAATGTACCAGTCCGGCAGGGAGTACGCAACCGGGGAGGCTTTCCTGGTCCCGGCCACCACCAGGTGCTTCAGCAGATCTCAGAGCCAAAAAGACGCAGCTGTGAGCACACAGGTCACCATTGACAGTGGTGTGTGTGTGTGTGGGGGGGGGGTGCCCTGTGACTTCCAGGGTCACCTCTGGGCTCTCAGGTGGGCAGGACTGTGCCTGGTCCCGCCTGCCCATGCACGTACCCAGATGTGCGCCCCTCCCCCCAAATCCTGCCCAGCTACTGAGCTGGCACCCGTGTGTGCCGACACCCACCATCCCAGGTGACATCCGTGGGGACACAGGGACTGCGGGCTGGCTGCCCCCCTCACCTACCCCTGCACAGTCCAACTGCTCTCCGTGGCTGTGCAGCTGTCCTTGCAGGCTTCCCAGGGAACGTGGGTGAGGGGAGCTGGTAATCAGGGCCTCCCCTTGGAGTCCCGGGACAGGGACAGAGCCTGAGACCCACCCTGCTGCCGAACCCCCTGCCTTGCTGGGGGCCCAAAGGGGTCAACAGGAAGGCGGGGACGGCGGGGTTGGGGGGGTCTGGCCCTGCTTGCTCCTGAGCCAGCTGTCACTGATTGCTTAGGATCCGTAGGGAATGTTTAGCACTTTATGTCGCTTTTGGTTTTCAGATATTTCAGATTAGGGGAAAGTGGCAGGAACAGCATGGATTCCTCTTGGCCTCCTCCAGATGCTCGTGTCTCATTTCACCTTTGCTGCCTCCCTCTCTCCCTCCCTCTTCCTCCCCCCGCCCCCATTGGTATTGTCACTGTCCCTGCTGTTTGGGGGCAGTTAGGGACCCCCTCGCAGACCTGAGGGCAGCAGGCTCTAGAGGACAGTTGTCACATGATCCCAGCCCACAATCCGCACCAGGAAGTCAGTGCACACGCGACTGTCTTGTCTAACCTTGCAGACCCATCCAGATTGTGCTGGCGATCCTACTGACTTTCCCTAAACCAGTGGCAGGGGAGCGGGGAGTGGGGTGGAAGGACATCACAGTCCTGTCCCGGCCTTGCATGGAGTGAGTGGAATGGGTTGTTCTGGGCTTTTCTAAAGCCTTTCGGGGCTGACCCCTGCCCCTGCTCGACAGTCTCTGAGCATGACCAGGCAGTATTTCTCGGACAAATCACAGGTCAAGGCGGACGTTCCTCACCATCGCTGCAGACACCCGTGCAGGGTCTTTGTTATTGAAAACACATTAGAACCCGGGACGAGGGCAATGAGGAGAAGCCGTGGCAATGGGCCCCGGGAATGGGCCACAGGTATGGGCCACGGAAATGGGCCATGGGAACGAGCCACGGGAATGGGCCCCGGGAATGGGCCACGGGAATGGGCCATGGGATTGGGCACTGGGCACGCTGGAGAGCCAGCTGTCCCCACAAGGCCATCGAAGTCGCAGGGACACACCTTCTGCGAGTGACAATGACATGGGGCGGGTAACCCCTGCAAAGGTGCCTCTCACAAGCCAGTTCTGCACATTGAGTCTCGTCAGTGCTGTTGTCAACAGTGGGCACATCCTGCAGGTTACACACGCCCCGCGCTGCGTCCACCACCCCTGGCGTCCCAAGGCTTTGGGCAGAACTTCTAGGTTCTTCAGCAATATATTTACATGGAGGAAAGGGTGACCAGCGTGACCCAATCCCCTTGTTTACGCAGCAGGGACCCTGGGGCGCGTGTGGGGTTCTTACCGGGCCGGCCACCTCGCTTCGCGAGCTTCACATACTCCGAGTCGGTTTCCTTGATCCAGTACTTGCGCGGCCCCGGCAGGTGCCCGTTGGGAGGCTCACTCAAGTCACTGAGGCCGGGGATCTGGGAAGCCGGGGGGGCGCCCATGGGCTTCTCAGACCGCTTCATGGGAAGGTGGTAATACCAGTCTGGAGGAGAGGGGCCGGAGGCCCGCTTGTTACCCAGAGTTGAAGTTGGTGTGCCCCACTGCCCACAACATAGCCATGCCAGGGAGAGCATCTCACCCTCCACAGGACACCAGCATGGGAGAAACCACCACAGGACATTTGCACTGAAGACACCTCCACCGGACATGGGAGAATCCACCATGGGACATTTGTATAGGAGAAACCACCACGGGACATCACTATGGGAGAAACTTCCACGGGACATCAGTACAGGAGATACCACCATGGGACATTTGCACAGGAGAAACCACCAAAGGAATCAGCACAGGAGACACCGCCACAGGACATTTGCACAGGAGACACCATCACAGGAGACCAGTGGGGAGAAAATGCTCTCTTTCAAATGCCTGCGCTGAGGTTGTGTGGATTAAGCCGCTGATCCCACCCAAAGGAAGATCTCCCTCTATGAGGCCCTGCTGTTCCTCTGCTACAGGCTGCACATCTGCTCCAAAGAGGTAGAAACAGGGTGTCCTCCAAGGTACCAGATCCCCTCCTGTGTGTCCCCTGCTCTCTCTCCTCTGTGGAACTGGCAGTAAACTGCATTTCTGGATATATTGGGGAATACACATTCCCGCAAAGTCCACACTCACTTAAAACACTGCAGGCCAGCGTCCAGGACATGTGGCCAGTGCTGGCCAAGATCTGTTGAACTCAGTATACTAAAGATGCTGAGATACAAAAACCATCACAGCAGCAGCAGCCTCAGAGAGCGAGGCCAGCAGCCTGCCAGGAGCAGGAAGAGGCAGGACCGGACCCCGTAGGGAGCCCCCCCCAACCTCCCACGTCCCACGCCCTGGGACCAGAGCCCAGGTGGGCCACCTCTCAGACGTGGGAACCCCAGCACATAAACCTCTCTGCTCCTTTCATCTGCATTGAGGCCACAGTGGGGCCCCACGAGCGAGAAGTCACAAGTGCAAGGGGACAAGAAGCCAGGACCTCGGCCAGGCAGCCACGTGTTATGGAAGACCTCCTCGGACCGCGGGCACATGAGGTGGCTGAGCCTAGCTCCCGGGAAATCTTAAGTGGGTCCCACAGAGTTGGAGCGTGGTGAGCAAGGACCAAGGGGACAGGAGGTGCGGCACTGCACGGATGAACCAGAGGAGAAGGAAGGCAGCCCGCTGTCTGCCCTTACTCCCTTCCTCAGTCTGAACCCCACAAGCCACGGGGCCCCTAGGTGGGCGCAGGAGCTGAGGGCGTCCAGGATGGCCCTGACAGGCACAAGAGGTGGGGGCAGAACCCCAGAGACCTTCAGTGACCAGGGTCCACCTATGATTCCGCAGCGAGAAGACATTGGGGACACCCGGTATACGGGTGCTTCAGCTGACTCTGTAGCAGAAACGGATTAGTCCAAATGTAAGAAAAAATATCCCTGCTGATTGAAAACTTGGGAAACAAAGTGAAGGAAGAATGTAAAATACAACAGATGCCATTAATGTGACACACGCAACTCATACATTTACGAGCACTTATTGGAATGCGCTGTCACAGATTCATGACCTTCAGGGTCTAACACAGTGCCAGGCTCCCAACAGGTGTGATGAATAATAGTATGTGTCACCTAGGCTGGGCCATGGTGCCCAGATTTTTGGTCAAATGTTTTCTAGATGCTTCTGTGAAGATATTTTTCAGATGAGATTCACATTTACGTTAGTGGACTCTGATTAAAGCAGATTGCCCTCCATAATGTGGGTGGGCCACATCTAACCAGTGGAAGGCTTTAAGAGAAAAAGACTGAGGTCTTCCAGGGGGAGGGAGGAATTTTACAGCTCTTCCCTGCCGATTCTATGTGAGCTGGTTCCTCTTTCAAGATAGATGATAGATAGATAGATAGATAGATAGATAGATAGATAGACAGACAGACGTCCTATTGGTTCTGTTGCTCTGGAGAACTCTAATACAGTAGGAGCACAAGAAAACCGTGTTGAAGAAGTTGATTCATGTAACACACAAGGAGCTCATGAATGATTGTCTTCTAAAGGTAAGAGCTTACACATCCGATTTCCACCTGTAACTAAAGCTGGGTTCGCTGCATCAAAACAAATGATGTTTAAACATAAAAATTAATGTCTAAAGGACAGTAATGAGCTGAATCAACATTATGCTTTTGAGAATGGAAGAAAGCACTGGGAAAAGTCTAAAGAATGGAGCAGAAGCTCACAGATCATTGGAGCTTTAGGAGGAAGCACAAAGCAGCTTCCTACACTCATCATATTCTGCTCAAAAATTTTCTCTTTTAGAAGGAAGGCACGCACTCTTTGCTTTATTTTTCCTCTCTGTGTTTTGATTACTAATTAATCCACAGGGAACAGTGTACCTTCCGGTTCTCATTACTGGAAGCTTCGGGCAGGCACTGAATCTACTCCAGTAGGGCATTTATAACTGAGCAAAGGAGCACACACACCACACATACACACACACACAGCGAAAACAATGAGAGCTGTCTTGTAACTTCCATCACTTAGAAATTATTAGTACTTTTATAACAATTACTATCATTACTAAGGTGATCAATTACTATCATTTGGATTTCTTTGTTTCTTTTTTTCTTTTTTAACCACCAGGTTGGGTATCATGTAGGTCTTTTATTTTTTAAGCAGCTCTTTTTATTCATTTTTATTTTTTAGAGAGAGCACAAGTAGAGGAGAGGAGCAGAGAGAGAGAGAGAGAGAGAGAGAGAGCGAATCTTAAGCAGTCTCCGCACTCAGCACAGAGCCCAACACACGGCTCGGTTCCACGATCCTGGGGATCCTGAGCTCAACTGACTGAGCCACCCTGGCGCCCCTCCCTGACTCCCCACCTGCAGGACAGGAGCACCTCATGTTATCAATAAGGCGAAGGCAGACAGGGGCTCTGACACCCAAGACCAGGGGCTGTCAGACTTCTAGTCACAGGGCAGGATTACGTGCCCACTTAGCCCCGCAGACGGCCATATTCCTGCCTTTGGGCTGCGGCCGCCTTGCAGAGCAGGGGTTAAAACCTGGGCAGAGGAGCCCCCATGGGAGGTGCCATCCTGGGCTAGTGTGAGGTCTATCAATAAGGGTTAATGATACCTCGTCAAGTCATTTTGAGGTTAAGGGTCAGTGTATAAAAGTGCTTAGGATGGTACCTGCCATTTGTCAGTGTCCATTGGTGTTGTGTATACAGGGGAAGCCACTAACTAAGGCTTGGAGAAGTCACATATAGGCTGAGAGCCAATAGAGGCAAAGAGGAACCTGTCAGCCCTCCCCCCGAAACACACACCCATGTGCCCAGCACAGCCACGGTGTCACCAAAAGCAGTCAGTCAGATCTCACAAGCTCATTTAGAAATGCCACGGCCAGGCTTTCCTAACACCTCTGAGCAGATGTGAGTGAGGCAGGTGACTGCCAGCTCCCGCCCTGTGGCTCCCAGCGGAGCATCAAATCCTCTTGTCCAGCCTTTCATCCCGCCCTCACAAAAGGGGGAGAACCCTCACAAAAGGGGGAGAAATCGGGGCCCTAGGTGGCTCAGTCAGTTAAGGGCCAACTTCGGCCCAGGTCATGATCTTGAGGTGCTTGGGTTCGAGCCCCGAGTCGGGCTCTGTGCTGACAGCTCAGAGCCTGGAGCCTGCTTCGGATCCTGTGTCTCCCTCTCTCTCTGCCCCTCCCCTGCTCATGCTCTCTCTCTCTCTCTCTCTCTCTCTCTCTCTCTCAAAAATAAACAAACATTAAACAAAATTTTTAAAAAGGAGGGGATCAAAACAAGAGTCCCAGACAGACCACAGCATGCACCTCTTTTTCCTTCCGTTCTGCCCAGCTTCAAACCCTGCTGAATGAGAAGCCCCACTGCCCCACCAGCCTCCACCCAATTCTTGTTTTCTGCATCCAGCACGTAAATGTGGAGACAATTAAAGTACTAGCGGGAGATGGGTGGTGAGATAGGAAGTCCCTGGATCAACACTGGAGGAAGCAGCTTACCAACGGTCAAACCATTTACAGGAAAATTGCAGAGATCTTACCCCCCAGCAGCTGAGACAACACTGGGAAACCTGGTTTTCTTTTGTCGAAAATAAAGAAAAAGAAGACTAGCTGTGTTTTTGCTTCCCCCCCCCCCCTTTTCTTTTAATGTCTCCCTTTAAGCTGCTTTGACCCTGGGGCACAGAAGCAGCTCTCTTTGAGGGTATCCCGTTAGTTTCACCCCAGCCCCACGTGCCCACACACTCAGGACGCTGGGCTGGGGGCCAGCCCTCCCTCGGCAGAGCGAACACGAATGCGGGCTCTGTTAGCTGGACACTCACCGCAGGGAGCATAGCGGCTGGTGGCGCCCTGCAGCTCCTTGTTTGTGTTCCTCATGTGGGCCTACAGGCGACAGGCTGGACCAGGTGACCACGGGTGAGGAGGGAACCGCCCCTGGTGCTGACTGTAGAGGCCACTTCCGAGGGCCTGCCCTCTCCGTCCACCTCCACCTGACAGGTATGCAGGCTCTAGTCATTAAGGAAGGGCATACACGACCCCATGCAGCAGGGGCATGTGCATGCTGGTATACAGCAGGAGCACGTCCATGCCTTGTATACATCAGGGGCATATGCATGCTGGTATACAGCAGGAGCACCTCATCAGGGGCACGTGCACGCGGGTACACAGCAGGGGCACGTTCACGCAGGCACACAACAGGGGACAGCAGGTGACAGCCGGTACGCATCAGGAGGCCATCCACACAGGTATACAGCAGGGGCATACACACTCTCGTATACACAGGAGCATATCCATGCCAGGTATACAGCAGAGGGAGGTCTGTGTCCGGTAGTCAGCAGGGGCACACGACACGGGTACACAGCAGGAGTTTATCCACACGGGTGTAAGGCAGGGGCGCGACGACACGGGTATACAGCAGGAGGCCATCCGCGCGGGTATACAGCAGGGGCACGACCACACTAGTATACAGCAGGAGCACATCCACGCCGCCGGGTATACAGCAGGGGCACGTCCATGCGGGTACACAGCTGGGCAGCGTGTGATCGCATGGCGGCGGGACTCATGCAGGTAGCCAGGTGCTCTCCGGGCACGGGGTGACAGGTGGCCCCCGCCCCGCCCCCTGCCTCCCG